GGAAAGGTGTTTTGGGCGACCTTGGTTGGAAAAACTTGTACTTGCAAGGTGTGGGACTATGAAAAGTTCCCTTGTCTGCATGGACTGGCAGCATATATCTATTTCGCTAGGAATGTTGATGGCAGGCGCCTTGATATCCATGAGTTGTGCTCAAAATACTACTGGACGGAAATGTGGCATTTGGCGTATTCCAGAACACTTAATGTTGTGCCCGACATGGCTTCTTGGAATGTACCAGATCAGATCAAGGAGGTGAAGATCATACCTCCAGATCGCATCAAGCGGCAAGGAAGGAAAAGAGTTTAAATTTGGATGAATTTGGATGAATTTGGAGTAATGCATATTTCGAGTAATGCATTTGGGTACTTGATATTGTGTTGTAAGCTCTGGAACTTTGTTTCATTTCGTGTTGTGTCGTGTTGTATGACTTGGAAAACTGCGTAAAACTTGAAATCTACTTTGTTTTGTAATGACATTAGTATTATCTATATCAAAACTCGAATCTCATAGTTTTTTCTCTATCAAAACCCGAATATCATAGTTTTACATTTGTTTTCGCAACTCTAACATATATTTATAACAAAACTCGGTTATCAATTTCAGCTAATTTAGGAAAAAAACTCTCACGTATCCCTTACGAGACCTTGAAATTTCAATAACACTTTGGTGGCCAAAGACATCTTACAAATGAAACTTTCGAGTTATATCTATTCGCTAAATATAATTGCACGAAACTATATATATAACAATTTAAACTAGTAATATTGAAGGCAAAACTAGATAACCAATTTAAATAGATTAGTAACGCTAAATAAATTAGAAACCGACAAAAATATAACTATGACCAAAGTTGGGAATACTAGTATCTTGGGTATAACTAAGAACAATTTTTTTTTGGGCAATTAATATTAAAATCGTCTAAATTATCTCAACCACACAATACTCCCCTCCCAAAGCCTTTCAAGTCCCTACTTTCAGTTTGACTTTTTATCCCTTTTTCATCTCTCCCTCTCTCTCACTTTTTATCCCATTTCCTCTCCCTCTCTTTCTCCTCTCTTGTGTCTCTCTTCTCTATTTCGAGAATTAAATTCTCTTCCCCCCCCCTCGCCGAGCAAGTGAAGATGGAAAAAGTGAAGATGGAAGTGGGTTCGGGTTCGTCTTTATCGCAAAGGAGCCGCCGATTTTCTTGTCTGAGGTTGTGTCACTGTGGCTTGCCGGCGAAAATAAGGCAAGCTTGGACTGACAAAAATCTTGGTCGACACTTTTATGGCTGTCCGCGTTTTAAGGTATGAATATATGATGGAATCTGGATATAATGGAATCTGGATTTGAATTGGGTTTGAATTTTGACCTTATTGCAGCTTGGAAATGAATGCAAGTACTTCTCTTGGTTCGATGAAGAGAATGGTACAGAATGGCAAAGGAGAGCATTGCTTCAAGCCCGTGATGAAATCCGGGAGAAGAATAAAGTGATTGAGCAATTACAGAAGACCATTTCTGAAATGAAAAGTCATTTGGAGAAGAAGAAGACATGGAAGGGCGGGAATGAAGAAAATGAAGAAGATTACATTGTTAGGAAGTTTGAAGAATTGTATGCTTAGTTTAAGTGTGGTGTTGAATAATTAGTTTTCCTAGTATTTCTAGTTTTCCTAGTTTTCATTAAGTTCTCCTAGTTTTCATTAAGTTCTCCTAGTTGTCCTAGTTTTCATTAAGTTCTCCTACTTTTCCTAGTTTTCCTTAAGAGGCACATTCAAAATATAATCATAAGAACTTCCATGATAACAAGATTGCAACATCCATGATAACAAGAACAAGTTCCATCCAACATACCTAATAAGTCAAGAGGTTTCCAACATCCACACAACAACAAAACAATGGGTCCAACTTCCCACAAAATACATAACCGAGTTTACAAAATACATAACCGAGTTCTTCACTCCCTGCTTCCTTGCCCTTCATCCATAGTTTTCTTCATAAACGCTTCAAACGGAACCACCATCCTTTCCTCAAACTTGTCCATTGTCTTCTTAACTCTCTTTAGCTGAGTGCCAAACATTTTCACTTGTTTGATCAACTTCTCCATCATCTTCTTCTGGCTTGCGCCTCCTTCCTCTCCACCTTCTTCGTCATCCTGATCTTCGTCGACAGCCTCTTGTGCATTTGGATCACGCGCAGCAACGTCTACATCATACATCTCTTCAAAAAAGATTGAATGTCCTTCTGCAAGACGCTTTACCCAACTGTCAACAGAAATATCACCGACATCAACGTTGTCCTCCTCTTCAGTCAGCTCTTCCAAAAGAGCTACTTCGTCTTCTGTCTTGGTAGGAAGGATGCTGTGGATATCCCCTGACTGATACCAAAAAATTAAAACCAAAAAATAATCACATGTTAGTATAATGCTACAACATTTTCAAAGTTTGTTGCACAAGAAACATTACAACATTTTCAAGATTGTAGCGGAAGAAACATACCGTTATTTTGTCCAGTTCCCGATTCAATTTTGAAAGTGAGAACCCTTTCATCCCTGCTGATTTAAAGACTGATCTGCACATCCTAGGACAGTCTACATCGACGTCTGCAACATCTTGTCTAAACTCCAATCCCAACTTGGGAATTGCCTCAAAAGCAAGCAACTACATACCAATCATGTACAAACACTTAACACAATAATATTAACAAATGATAAGGTGATTATCTTCAATTGCTTACCTCCAGTGGCAGACAGAAACCTGGAAGTGGCCATAAAGTCTTCTCTTTAACCCAACCTCCAAAATGATCCATGGTGTGCGATNAATCATGTACAAACACTTAACACAATAATATTAACAAATGATAAGGTGATTATCTTCAATTGCTTACCTCCAGTGGCAGACAGAAACCTGGAAGTGGCCATAAAGTCTTCTCTTTAACCCAACCTCCAAAATGATCCATGGTGTGCGATATCTCCTTAACCATGTAATCAAACGAGTACCTCCCCCATGGAAAGTTTTCGCAGAACTCGAGATCGTCCACAGCTCTTTGGAAGAATTCCAAAACATCTTTGGCGCCTTTTCCTACTTTCGTTTGCGCACAGATAACACTTCCTAAAAAGAACAAAACCATCATCTTCAGCCGATCTCTGTGTTCTCCCATAGCCAACAGCTTCGCTTTGACATCCTCAAGCCTTATTGATTCTCCCTTATTGAAATGGCGCTTCACGAACTTTCTATCACCAAACTCCTTATACCCAAGTGGATAGTTGCGGCATCTAAGACCTGAGATCAAAGCGTGTTCTCTCAGGCCATAGCGGATGGGAACACCATTCACAATGAACCACACTTCCTTCCTCTTCGAGCTATCCACTGTCCGCAATAGCAACATCCACATTCCTTGGACCATGTGGTTTGAGTCCTTCTCCATGTGGAACATGTGAGAGAATTGTGGATGCTCCTCAAACCACTTCCTCTCAGTAATACTCATCGGCGGTTCCAGATTGTCAAATGTAACCATAACGTCATTGACGAAATATTTGGTCGCTATCTTTATTTGTTTCTTGTACTCCGACTCATAGAAGTACATCCTCAACGGTTTGATTGCCTCGGTTGCCTCTAATTCCTGCAAGTAACATTGTGTTCTATATCAGTTATGCAAGTACTAAAACATAGTTCTCCTAAGTTATCCGAGCCTTTCCTAGTATATTTAGTTAAACCCTATTCAAGTTCCACACTTATTACCTCTTCTCCTTGCCCGACAACCCCGTGACCATCACCATCAACATTTCCTGATTCCGCTTCCAATGGGGGTTCCTTCTCTTCTTCTTCTCTGGTGTCTTCCTCCTCTTGTATTTCTTCTACTTCTTCATCGCTATTTCCTTCTTCCTCTTCATCTTTGTCTCCATTTTCTTCTTTCTCTTCTTGAGATTCGTCGCTATTTCCTTTTTCCTCTTCATCTTCGTCTCCATTTTCTTCTTCCCTTTCTTTCTCCTTCTCCGATTCTTCTTTCTCTTTCTCCCAATCTTCTACATCCTTAGCCGGTTCTTCTACTTCATTCTCCTCCGCAACTCCCACGGTTCCAACAAAATCAACCGCCGGTGATTCCTCATCCGTCGTTTTTCTCTTCTTCGAACTCTTCTTCGGTTTGTTCTTCTTCGAGTTCTTCGAGGTCCCGCTCTTTTGCGGAGGAGGATCCATTGGAGGAGGCCTATCATTTCTCTTACCCAGCCTACTTTCAACCATGATTCACACGTTTTTGGTGTAATCGAAGGGAAATCGAAGGAATCGAAATGGAATGTTCTAGGGTTACGTTTTCGAATTTGGGAATTTAGGGGAAACCGTTGAGGGGATTGGGGTTATTTGGATTCGGGTTCGAGATGGTTAAAATCGAGATTCGATCGAGATGGTTTAAGTTGGATTGGGGACGGTTAACATTGAGTGGTTATTTGGATTCGGGATTCGTTCGTATTTCAATTCGATTCGGTTTTCCCTCCTGTTAAACTTGGTAAAACCCGTAAATAGATTACCTTCCTTAGGGTTAACTGTAAATTCCAACAATTTGCCATTTTATATTTTTTCCTTTTTGTTTCATATCTTTCGAAGATTGATTGAGGAGGAGGGTGGGTATAACAGATAATGTCCCCTAAATAATGTCACTCATGACATTATGTTATATTTCTCTATTGTTTATGTTTTTGATTTTTTTTTGTTCAACAAGCTTTTGATTACTTCACAACTTGCAGTATTCAAAATAAACTGACTATGACAAATCCGTGAACAGGTTGGGAAAATTCAATGATGAGTCTCATATCTTACCGTAAAGTTGTTTGAGAGTTATAAGGACTCGTCTGATGAATAAATGGCATACCTCTCAACAGCTTACCATGTAGATTGAAAACAAGCTTTTTACATAACACTGAGCGGTAGAAGCAAAACAGAGAAAGCTTTTTGAGCCATTTGGAATGCAGTTTACTTGTCTGTTCAATCAGATGAAACATGTCATCTGGTATGGACCAATTGAAAACGTCAAAGTTCTGCTTGATCTTGTCTTCGTATGTGCTCTTTGGAAGAGCACTTTGACCCATTTGGAGACCCCACAATTTGCGCAGGAGTCTTCCCTAGCTTCTCAGCAACAGTGCCTAGAATAAGGTTCTTCAGAACATCGCTCTTGAGCCACATGTTGTCCCTGGAGAACAAAAGGGAGAGCACCCTACAAAGGAAAAAAAACATCATCTCATGTTCGAGATCTTTTATCAGTTTTGCAACCAAAGGATATGGACATATTTGTTATACTACATACGGAGAGGGGAACACACCTTTAGATTTGCAAAAATCCTTGAGCCCACGAAGGGTGAAGCTCCACCTTCGAGTCACCTCCAAGAAATCTGCGAGATTCTTTGTGGAGATAAATTTCTTAAACCAATAGTTCAGGCCTTTTGTCATACCATGGGAGGAACACTTCAATGACAGAACCAACAACTGATCCCTCCCAACGTGTGAAGAGTGGATCCCCTAACAATCACAACAAGTTAAGGATCTGTTGTTGATTCCGTCCTTGAGGCTTTCCTCGTTTCAAAACGTTTCCTAACGCAGCCAAAGGTTGCACAACTTATTTTCATAACAGTCGTATTTATAGAAAACTATAAGCAATGAGAACCCTAGACTCTTGAGCAGCTTGTTATTTCTTTGGCATCTGAAGATTTCATTGGGTTTCTCCTTTTGGGCTTTAACAGTCCTAAAGAATCTTAAATCTTAACAAAAAGCAGTAACGTACACCTTAAGATCAAATCACAACACATTCGCGAAATCACAGACGAACCTTTAACAGCGAGCGGCTTCCACAGCCTTTCCGACGAGAACAGGATCAGATTGCCATGCTGCGAGACCGATCGATGTAGTCTTCGCTATTTAAAACTCATAGTGAGACTGATCAAGAGCAAAAGGATTTGATTAGTTTCATAATGGAGTTTACACAGCCCATTAGGGGAAATGAAATTGTCAGTGAAACTTGAGCTCACTTGGACCTTAATATTTCATTTCAAATTTGCATATATATCTTCTGTATACTGTATATAGTTGTGTTTTAAAAATAAATAAATTTGCAAAACTAAAGTACCACTGTACAAGCAAATAAAAATGTACACCAACTCTAAACCTTTTTCTAATATCAACTTGTGTAGGTATTTTAATTCTTTTGTGTAAATGTTGAATAGTATATGCATTATGTAAAATTAAATATGAATGATGCATGATGCAACCCTGGTACTAAAGCATGTCCATTGCAAATTTAGTAGAGTATCTAACTATCAAAAACATATATTTTAAAAAATTACAGACTCATTGGCCACTTATTCTTCTCTCATAACTTTATAGTTTTAATCTAATTGTATCAAAGATATTAGAATATATTATGTGTTAACTATTTTACATGATGAATATGCTCAAATACATAAATTACATGTTTTGGCTGTACGTATCAAGAAACTAACTGCTCTAGATTTTTTTGAACTGTAATTGTTCTAGATTTTAATGGCAGCAGCCGGCTCAGTTTATATTTATTCATTAACCTACATTGTATATATGAATTATTGTACTAGTTAAAAACCTGAAGACACGTCCCAGATGAAAACCAGTCATGTAACTGAACATTTCAACCTAATTTCATATATACTATCAGCAATTTGCAACATAAAATTTATAACAAAAGTGACCTTTTCTTTGTGTGATCAGTCAACTACACCAAAAGTCAACTACACATTTGTATTGATAATGCAGCAAAGGCTTTTGCAAACATTTGTACTGATAATAAGCACCAAGAAGATCAACAAAACCTAACTCGTTCTAGAGTTCAAACCCGAAACGTCACGTGAGGATGTCTCAAGGAACACCAAAACGGAACACAATCAACCATTTCACGCATAACCATCCCTTGACCGAAGTCAACGTTGTTTGCACGTACAGATGCAATGGTTGCAAACTGTACGGCGAAGGCAAGACCTACCGATGCAACGAGTGCGACTATGATCTCCATGAATATTGCGCCACGTGCCTTCCAACCCTCAGGAACACATGGCACGCGCCTGATCATGAGCTCAACCTCATCAGCAGTCCCGCGCACATGTCCGAGCGTGTGTGCTATGTTTGCCAAGTTTTCATCCAAGGGATGTTCTACAAGTGCAAGCACTGCAGTTTTGAATCCCACCCGCTTTGTACACACGGTCCAGCGTATGCCTCCTATCCAGATGCAACGCTGACGAGGCCGAGAAGCCTGCATGACCCTCATGGGATGCAGGCACCGTGGTCGCCCCACCATTATAGTCAAGGAAACCCCTATTGGCCATACCCTTATGGTGGTGGTTATCATCCTCACCATCAACATGAGCATCAAAGTCAACATCCGTACATGAACATGGGTTCCCCAAAAGTGGATTCTAAGAAAGATTCAAGTAAGGGTAAGGGAGGAATTTTGGAAGGCGTCCAGGCAGCACTAGCTCTAGCTGGTACCATGGGAGCTCAATTCGTCGCGGAAGAATATATCTTCAATGAAGAATAATATTTATCTGATGATTTTTTTCTTGTTGCTGTGTCTTAATTTCGGTTTTGTTTTCCGTTACATGCATAAACGTATATGTTTGTATTTGTCTCAGTTTTACATAATCGCATGTTTGCAAATTGCGGTGTTAATAATATATGGATTCTGGTTTTAATACACCAAACTTTAAAATATTCTGTATTTAAAGATCTCGACTACAAAATCATATTAGTTAATCTAAGAATTCTAAAATGAACGATCTTTGTTAGCCTATGACTGAAAGGTACTTGAAATTCTCCATCTTTGAAGTAGGTTTAGACAAAAAAAAGAATGATTAATGGTACTTGGTTTTTCAATGTGAGAATAGTACCATCTCAAAATTTCAATTTCGTGGCACATTGACACATATAACTTCTCATTTAGACAATCTAACTGTAAATATGTAATGCAATGTGACTATAGATGTTTTCTTTCACACACGGTCCAATGATGAGTTTGGGTGAAAATATTCTGCTTTCCTCAGAGTTTATTAAAGATTATCAAAAGGCTACATGTCCAAGAAGCTCCACACTCAAGGTAGATATTCGAAGTGTATGGGATGGTTAACTTCTGGAGCTCAGTTTTTTAACTTGTCAAAAAAGGGGTATGCATGTGACTATGGGTTTCCGTTTCACATAATCGTATAATTGCAAATTGTTTTGTGGCATTAATGCAGATAACTCGAAAATTGTTTTTTTTTTATCAAAAGGAAACAATATTGTTTTAATACCAATGATCTCGACTACAAAATCATATTTGAATTACATTACTATTCACACGAGAGCCTGCTTCCAAAAACAGAACCAAAACTAAGAAACGGGTCTTAGCTAAACTAAGCCTTCACTACCATAAGATACACTAACTAAATTCAAGCTTGTAAGAGTAAAACTCACACGAACCTTTGTTGACCAGCTTGACAGGACCTAACCCGAATGTATAGTTGGGTGAAACCATGTTGTAGTGAAACAAAACATCAACGTCTTTGAATCCAGACAGAGAAGATGGAGTGATCGAGATTAGATTGCCTTTGTAATAATAATCCTAACGCCGATTCACTTGGAGATCAAAATCGATAAAGAAGGAGTGATCGAGATTTGAGAGGAAGAGATAAGAAGTGGTTTCGCCCGACGAGAGAGAGACATTATTGGGAGGTCCATTCAGCTTGTGACACGTAGGGGCTCTTACCAGTTCCAAAAAACCCAAATTAAAAACCGTCTCTCTCATTTTTGCTTCTTTTTCATTTATTTTTATTGGATTTTTTTTAAAATCTGTCTTAAGATTCTTTCGATGGACTTTCTCTAAGGATTCTAAAAGTAATCGATCGATCTTTGTTAGCATCATATTGTAAGCTCAAAATTTTGGAATTTGATATGTTGCTGCAGTGGTGGAGTTTTGGTTCGTGTACTTGTGTTACACACAGAGAATAATGTGTGACACACGCTTCAGAGAATAAAAGGAAATTATCAAGATGCGATGAAAATGAATATTTCCATATATTTGGGTGACGAAATTAGAAGATTTATGATGCTAAAATTTAGGAAATAAACCACGTGAGATAACATACGACGGTGGGATTTAGGGCAATATGTCCTTTGCATATAAAGAGAACAAGACGGTGACATAAAACGGTTACGCGTCTATTATTGAAGATGCACATGGATGTGTGTGACGTCGTTCTACCAGACAGATGGAGAGATCTCTAGGTAGTTTTGTTATAGAGAAACTATACTTGTCAGAGAAGACATTAAGTAGTAGTTCTTCTTTATTGTAATTCTAGATTAGAGTGGTAGGCACGGATGTGTGCTGGATACCATATACTAATGCTTTATTGCGATCTTTTCTAGTGAATGAATTTTCAACGTGGCCCCGAGAATATAGGAAATGAATCTCGTTAATAAATCTCTGTGTCTCTTTACTTTATACTCTTACATACTAGCACATGAACACAATCACATGCAAATAGATATACTAGCCATGAATCAAGTACACATATGATTGTAATTTGTATTCCGTCTTCAAAATCCTTTATTAATGATTCTAATTGTAATTGATATTAAATGATTCTTATTTTTTCCCGATGTGAGAATAGTACTTTCTCAAAGTTTCAGTATATATAGTAACGCACTGAGACGTTCAGTTTATCGTTTAGACAATGTAGCTGTAGTGCAATGTGAATGTAATGGATTGATTGGTACACCACCAAATGAAACATCACATTCTATTTAAGATGATAATATACTAGGAATGCATAATATTGTCTTATTAAGCTTTTTATTTAGAAATCCAAAATAACAACAGATAGGAAAGTAAATTATTGGTAACATTCATGATTAAACTAAATAGTTCAAAAGGCACAGGAGCCTCCATATTATATTTTGACAGAACAAATAGATCATTTGAAGTATCATATCTCGCCATCCCATAAGTCTTCAAGAGACTTGTAAGGGCTCAGTGTCTCATGAACGAAGAAGGAAGCATTCAATAACCTAGCCTGCATTTAATCCAAAAAAATACAAAAGCTCTCATTAGGAGAACTACGCTACATGATGAAATGTAAAGAGTAAGTGAAGATGTTAGAGCCCTACCTGTTCAATCTCTGAAAACTTGGCAAACAAGTCATCAGGTATCGACCAGTCGAAAACCTCAAAGTTCTCTCTGATTCTCCCCTCATTGGTACTTTTAGGAAGCACACTGTTACCCATTTGTAATCCCCAGCGAAGTGCGACTTGCGCTGGAGACTTGCCAAGTTTTTCAGCAACAGTGTTCAGTATAGGGTTCTTCAAAACATCGCTCTTGAGCCACGTTGTTCCTGGGGAGCCCAATGGAGAATATGCCTACAAGAATATTCAAATAAAGTGTATAACGTATGGTTCAAAAATATATTCACAAGGAAGAGAAAGTGATGCTTACAGTGAGGTGAACTCCTTTGGATTTGCAGAACTCTCGTAGCTTAGTCTGTTGCCAAGAAGGATGACATTCGACCTGATTAACGGCAGGAGGAACACGAGCTAACTCTAAGAGAGTAGCTAGCTTCTTGGTGGAGAAGTTGCTTACACCTATGGCTCGTGCCTTGCCCGAATCATAGAGTGCTTCCATCGCTTTCCATGTGCTAGGAATATCTACAGGCATAAGGTTCTCGGGCTTTACTCCAACAGAACCTTTCTTCATCCGTACTGGCCAGTGTATCTTCAAGAAGATCGTAAAGAATTTTGTTACTCAATACTTCCACTTATTAAAAATTGATCCCCATGAGCAGACATGCTACCCGTTAATAGGTTTTAAGCAAAAATACAAACAAGTTTGAACACTATATATGTTAGTGATCCCACATATGAATCAATATGATTTAAAGCACAACTGTGCCATTGAAATGGTCCATGCTTACCAAGTAGAGATCAACATAATTTTATTCTTTATGCTATCCAATTTCATAATCATTTTTATGTGACTTATAATATTATTAATATAAAATTTATAAATTTTTATTTTTGTAATATTTTTTTAAAATATTGTTATTAAGATTACTAATTTATATATTTTGTTTTATTTTTAAATTTGAAATCTATGTAAAAATTAATTAAGTTGGACCTACATAATACATAAACAAAATTTTGGGATATTGTTAAAAGTATTTTACATAATTTTAATTTTTGTTTATAAATTAAAAATGAATTAAATTTTTAATTATATTTTATGATAATTATATTTTATGATAATTAAAATTTTAATTAAATAATTTTTGAAACTATATCTTGAAAAAGATTCTAAAAGATTTTTAAAAGATTTTGTTAGAATTTTCTTAAAACTATTTATTTGTTTTTCAAACAAAAATTAAAGATATGAAAAGATATTATAATGTTATGTAAAATTTTATAAAACTCTAAAGATGGTCCAAACTAAAATATCACACATGAAGTGAGTCATGACTTCTCTTTTAATATAATAGATAAATTAAAACATTGTTTTGTAAATTTATATCCACATTTAATATATATATATATTTTCATCCTTACACTTAGATGTAATTTAAGAGCATCATTATCGGCGTTCCTTGGACCGTTCCTTAATGAATATTGGGTCGAAAATATATCAAAAATGGTAAAGGACTACACAATCAGGCCTTACTTAAGGGCTCTTTTTCTTCGTCCCTTTGGCTATGTGGCAGCAGCGTGTTGGAGATGAAATCGGTGACCGATCGATCGTGTTTTCCACTTTCTTCGTTTCTCTCTTCTCTATTAAACCGTAAAGGCGACGACGAAGGCGATTTGATCTTGTAATCGATCTCAGGTGGCAAAGACGATCTCCGGTGGCGAAGACGATCTCCGGTGGCGAAGACTTGAAAGCTGAATCCCCATCCCACTCTGAAATCTCCGAAGACAAAGACCTAAATCGTCGGTTCGCTTCGTTTCCCCAGCATCCCCAATCGTTTGAGAATCGACCCAATCGTACCAAGGTATGTCTTTCACCTCCGTTCTGAGATTGAAAATTTGATTAGGGTTGTGTAGTTTGAAAAAATCGTATTGATAATTTTATTGAATTTTTCATTAGGGTTAAAAAATCGTTATGAGATTGAATCATTGGTTTGAGAAGCTCTGTTCTATGGTTGTTTCGTTTAGATAATTTGATTGATTATTATTGTGCTTGGATTGTATGATTTTTTCTTTCGAAAAAACCTATGTTCTATGGTTGTTTCGTTTAGATTGTATGATTGTTTCGTATATATGATTTGATATTCGTATAGATGATATGATACTCGTAAAGATAATAACTGGATTTGAATTTGAATCTGTGAAAGTTTGAAATGATTTTAATGACCAAACTAGGGTTATGGTTTGCTTCTTTAATGTTTTGAATGAACAAATGTGTTTTTAAGCAACCACACCAACCATTTCCATTGAAAGTACACTTGTTGTTAATGTTTAGCTGTTTATTAAAGCCATTGCCGTGGTTACTTCTTACGTAGATAGGTTAGGCTGTAATAACTTTTGATTAGACTTGCTCCACACCAACCATTTCCAGTGATAGCTTTTTATTTCTGTGATAACTTTAGATTAGACATTTCTTGTTACCGGTTAGACATTAACAACAAGTGGTTGGTTATTACTTCTCATACCCCCTTAAATATACGTAGATAGTTTCTCTCTTCTACCATCTCCTCTTAATCTCTTATCTCTTCTTATTGGTATGGATTCAAGATATCATCATATGCAGTCCTCTAGTTACGTAGGACTGCTTTACAATCAAAAAGGTAGTAGTGTTCAACATGAAAACTTTCCTTTTGAAATTTTTCATTCTAGTCTTCACTTAGGAGAATCCAAAAACCCTCATTTCAGTTCACAACAATCTGAAGGCACACCCGTAGGCACACCAGTGAGCATACCCATGGACTGTGTTGTTCGACGCAAATGGATCCCAGCTGATGATGAGGTTCTAATCAGTGTGTGGCTCAACACTTCCAAAGATGCTGTAGTTGGAAATGAGCAGAAGTCGCTCACCTTCTGAAAATGTGTTGGTGAGTATTACGCAGAAAGTCCTCACGGAGGAGAGGATGGTGAAAAGAGAGAGCATCTTCGTTGTAACATATATAGCTTATAAGTTTTTATGAATTGAATAAAATGTTTGTTTGCTTTTATTTATTATGATGTTTAGTAATTTTTTTTTGTAATTTTCTTATTTCTATTTTAATGTTAAATTTTTCTTTTTATATGTTTTAATTAAAACTTCTATTTTATATATGTCATTACAAAACAATTAAAATAAATAAATTTAATTATGTAAGGGACAAGGTTAAATCCCACCAATAATCAACTTATTTAGCAAAAACCCTTAGCTTAATCCCTAAACATAAAAATAATACTAAAAATTGTTAAGGGCCCTTATGAGAGTCCCACCCATAATATTGCTCTAAGAGACTCAACCCCCCCCCCCTCCCCACCCCCCAATTTGAGGTGCTTAAAGTTTTTATCCTCTCAACAAGTGCTGCTCTCTAAAATGTGATTTTGCGTATGTGATGTGTTCTAGACAGTTTAAGAATTGTTAAAATTACAGGAATCATCATGGGGACTAATTCATGGATAATGTATGCATTATCTTGTTTGAAACACTTAGGATGATCGCAAATATTTATTTCTATTTAATTACTAAATTGATATAAAATATTGTAGATAAATTTTGGCAAACATCAAACGGGGTAAGTATGACAAAAAAACTTTCAATGTGTCACTTTCAAAAGTCTCTTTAAAAACATGATTAACCTAGATTTTTAATTTGGGGTTCTTAACTCATGATTTGACTTTTTTTTTACATTTTTTGGTTAAAAATCGGTTCTTATATCACTTATTTAAGGGAAGATTTATATAGCATTTTTTTATAGATGATCTAAATATGTGATATATCCTTGTAAATAATTATTAATTAATGTTCAGCTAAAATAATCTTATAGAAAACATTTTTTTAATAAAGGCATTTTAATGTTGCTCTTTTTTGTTAGCAACTCTATCAAGATCACTCTTGTTTTTGCGTTTTACATGATTCATTCTATAATGTCTTCCACCTTCTAAAATTTTCGATAATGAAAAAATTAACAATGCTGTAAGAAGGAGAAAATCACAACACCATAATTTCTCACGGGTATACAAAAGGTTCATATCATTTTTTACAGTTAAAAGTCCCTTCAGAAAAATCACCCAATTTGATCAAAAAACACACGCCTAAATTGTTACATGAGGTTTATTCAACCAGTCCAAACACTGCATAACTCATTAACTTTAGACACTTAACCTAACCAATAGTAATTACAAAGTCACGAGCCCTTTCCCTCATGCACATCTTCAAGTTCCCTTCGCATCACGTCAGGACCCGACGATGACCGGGTGACTGGACGCCAGTGGAAACTACAGCAAACGTGGTGGTCGTGATCGTGGTCTTTGACGACGCCGTATCTGAAGATGATCCAAGACCCGATCCGAGCCGCCCTGAATCACCCGGCAGACGAACGTAGCAAGAAGAAGAAACCTCGTCACCATAACGGATTTGCATGACGGCTCTATAAACAAACGGAATTAGACCCTCCATTTTTTGTTAACTGCTCCAAAGAAACAAAGCCTTTTGGTCTTTATAGAAAGATAAGAACTGCCATATGGCGTTTAATGATTAGTTGATGTATCCACAAGTTTTCTCACGTCATATGGTCGCTATAGTTTTCAAATTATTATATGACTTTGAAGGTTAATAAGAGAAGCAACCTTTGATTATGAAATTAGCTACATGAAGAATCTAAAAGCTACATTCCAACTAATATGAAACCACGGCTGGTCCAACGGATTTATCTTCAACATATATAAAAATTAATTTCATCTATATCCAATTTTAAGTGCATTGCAGCTGGATTGCTGGAAAAAATATGAATGTGCAGTCCTATTGACTATATCCGCATTTAGTCAAATAATATTGTAAAGCAATCTTGTTAGTGTTTGTAGTTCTTTTTATATTATTATGATCCTAGTTATATGTTGATATATTAATTTTGCTTCTTGTATATTTTTGAAAAATGATTATATAAGTTTCTCGGATGTAAATCGTTAATTATATTATTAAGATTTTTATAGAAAATAAAAAATATATTATAAAGCGGTGTATGTGTTTTTTTTTTATACCACTGATAAGAGTTTAACAACAAAAATATGCAATACAAAGGAAAAAGAGATGTCAATAGACACCAAAAACGAGGTAAAATTCTCACTCAAACCTTCTATTGTTGAGTCTCCAAAACCAGTAGATGATGGAGCCATACCGGACCCAGTCGCGCGATGTACGATTGATGACGCAAAACCCGAGTAACACTTACAGCAATTGACGCAGCAGATTCATTGCGATCGGAAAGAACATGTTCTAAACTCCAAGAGCCTATCCGTGAGAGTAGAAAGAAGATGCGGTGTATGTGTTTGGACTAATAATAGAAAAGAATTTATGATGTCAAAATATTTATTAAGTAATGACGTTTGGGTGGTTGGGGGGGGGGGGAGAACAAGAGACGATTACAAAATTGTGGCCACGAGAGCTCGAATGCTATTAGGAATTAGTTAAAAAAGATTACCATTGAAGGTCACTTTTTAAATCTATTTTACACCATAAGTCACTTTCAGCTCCTTCAACACTTGAAATTCCTTCAACAATTGTTTTAACTTATTCTATTCTATATCAATTACACTCTAACTAGATTATAATTTATAGGGCCTACTTTTTTATCTCTCTTCTTCTGTTTTTTTTTTAAATATTTCACGTTTTTCTTTCTAACACAAATCTCTTCTTCCTCAATTATTTTTTCACACAGTTTATTTTATAAACAAAATAAAAACACAATTTTTTTTAAGAATTATAGTGGTGCAGTGTTACAATTCTATTCCCTGTGTAGTCTGGTCCTCATCCATGACCGCCGATGAACTTTTTTTGAACTCGATTGTGGTTCTTTATTTCCATCTCCGCGAATCAACACGACTAAGCTTCCTCTTCCATGTGTTTTACAACTTATCTGCTTCGTTATGAGAAAGTATTTCGTGGCGATTGTGATGCTCGTAATCCGCCATACTGGGAAGTCGAGGTCAATCAACAATGACCAAATTATCAATTTTTTACATTTGGTCCTTTAACTGTTTATATATTCTCAATTTGACCAAAAACTATTAAATTTGCAAATACACTCATTTTAATTGTTCTGAAACTTTTAATTGTTCAATCCAACCCCTTATAATATGCATATATAAATTTTAAGAGCAATATAAAAATTTATGTACACAAAATTAACACTATGTACACAAAAGTTCACCTTATCCACATGTACAACAATCTACAAGTACAAAGGCAAAAACAATAAAATAGTGTACACGAACAAATAATTTTGCAACTTAATGTAGTATGTGTATAAGAACTTTCTCATTTTCAAGTGGAATATGTGTACAAGGACATTGTTGACAAAACAATGGTGTACATGAACATTTGTGTACATAAAGATAATATAAAACATTGGATATACATTTTTTTTGTCCCTATCATGTGTACATCACTTGTTAATGACATATTTAAAATCATGTGTACATTGATTAAAATCATGTGTACACCGATTGCCACTTATCACATACAATAAATTTTTTGGATTCATCTTTGATGTATATGTGTACAAATAAAATTGTATACAAACAACAATGTTATCTATAAGCAAATTTACCAATGTACACTCTAGCATATGTTTATGAAATTAAACAAATATATGCACTGAGAACATCTAAATAAATCAAAAATGATTATAACGAACTAAAAAATGATAAAAATCTTATACATATAATTCAAATCCACTTATATGTGTACAAATTCACTACAAACTTTTGATGTACACATGTACATGTCACATGGTGTACACAACTAAAATTACAACAAAAAAAAATCTTTCATATGAAAACATATTCTCATATGGAAGCATATAGTTGGAGAGAGGCTTGCAGAAATTGTCCACCTATATGTGTACAATTTGACCACAAACTTTTGATGTATACATGTATATGGTGTATAAACTAAACTGTACACAAGAAACAATCTTTTATTTGGAACACATGTTCTCATATGGAAGTATATCGTTGGGAGAGTTTGCGGAAATTGTTTTTACATTGGCACGAGGTTATGCAAGTGGACACGTTGATACATACGTGTACACATGTATATTTTAGAATGTAAAAAAAATATAAAAGAAGAATGAATTATTGATTAATCAAAGATTTAATGGGTTTTTACGATGAAAAGATGAAGAACCATTATCACAATTATGAGGAAGAAATTTAATGAACAATCAATAATTTGAGGGTTAATTCGAGGGGATGTCTGCACAATTGAAAAGTGTGGGGTTAAAGACTAAATTATATAAAACATAAAAGGCTAAACATTGCAAAAATCAAAAATTGGCCATTAAAGCTCTTAAGCTTCACGTTAAGAAACAGAGATGGCAAAAAGATGGCTGCCTTGGAACGGCGGGCTGCCACCGCCGTGACTGCCTTGGAACGGCGGGCTGCCACCGCCGTGACTGCCTTGGAACGGCGGGCTACCGCCACTGTGACCACCTGGCGGATTACCATCGTCTCCGTATCCGCCGTAGCCACTTTGGAATGGTGGGCTGCTGCCGCCGTCATAGCAGCCTCCGTAACTGCCGTGACCCCCGCCGTAGCCTCCCTGACCACTGCTGTATCCTCCGTGACCACCGTTGTAGCCTCTCTGACCACCACCGTAGCCTCCCTGATTTGTTGAACGTTTTTTCCAATCGCCACAGCTGAAATCACATTCTTGATGATGCCGTCCAACAACGAGACCTCACATCAATCTATTGAAAAAGAATTGAAAAAGAGAATCGATGAAAACCTCAAAGTGATCTCTTGAATAAAACATTTGTAGAAACTAATCAATAAAAAAATCTATATTATAATAGTACACTTTTTAGGCTCCACAGTGCGCCACGTCAGCAGTTTTGTGAGTCCCGTAGATATTTTTTAAACACTCATATTCTTGGTAAGATGATTACAAATAATGAAATACACTTTAACCAAGTGGTATAAGGTGTCTAATTAAATATGCAAGATCGAGGGTTCAAACCACGCAGCTATCATGTATTTTTGATTTTTTTTTTATTTGGGTTATTATCATATGGGCTTTTTGTTTATAAGGTTTTTATGTTTTTTTTTTTGCTTATTTTTTTAAAGATCAAAATAGTTGGATAAACCCTAAATCTTAACAAGTTCAAACCCAAAATAGTTAAAAATGAATTCAAAACGAACAATAAAAAAAAAAAACAAGTCTCATCCGGTTGCCTACGCAGATGGCTTAAAGAACCTTAAAACTATTCTATTATAATATAGCTCAACCCAAAAATAACAAAAAATAAATCTAAAAACGAACAGACCAAAAAAATAAAATAAAAAGTGAATTCCACGCGGGTGCCTACATGGATGGCTTAATGAGGCTTTAATAATATAGATTGGAAGCTCAAAAAGTTAAATCATTGCACATATTTCCTAATATATATTTTCAAAAAATTTGTATGTGAGATAAAATAAAAAAAAAAACAAAATTAATTATTTTCGTTATTTATTAAATGAATATGTAATTTCTCTTACATTTTAATAACTTCTATAATTTCATTGAAAACATTCCTCACCACCGATTCCACACTCCGGCGAATGGATTCCCACAGTCGATGGCGCCGTAGATAAAAATGCCACATCATTTATGAACAGAACTCTAACTTACAAAAAATCATATATAAAAACCTATCTAATGAAACTTAAACAACGAATATTAACTTAATTAAGGTTATTTTCAAATTGATAAATCGTTTAATACAAATATAAATACTATAAATATAGAATTATATCAAGTTTTGATCTACGATATAAAAACTATTTACAGCAAAAAAAAACACCAATTTTTACACACTAAAAACTATATTATAGTTTAACTATTCCTATAAACCTTACTTTGCATATAAATAACATTTAACACATTCCTAATATTTTTCAAAAAAATTGTATGTGAAATAAAATAAAATAAACAACAAAATTTAAGTATTTTTAGTTATTTATTAAATTAATATGTAATTTCTCTTACATTTTAATAACTACTATAATTTCCTTGAAAACATTTCTCACCACCGACTCCAGACTTCGGCGAATGGATTCCCACAGTTGATGACTCCGTAGATAAAAATGCCACATCATTTATGAACAAAACCCAAACTTACAAAAAACCATATATAAAAACCTATCTAATGAAACTTAAACAATAAATATTAACTTAATTAAGGTTATTTTCAAATTGATAAATCGTTTAATACAAATATAAATACTATAAATATAGAATTATATCAAGTTTTGACATACGATATAAAGTTTGATATTTTCCATTTCATTATTATTTGGTGTCATTAGAAGAATCCACTAAACTAACAATCGAAAAAAATACACGCAAATATAATGATTCCGGCTCCGCGCTTGCGCGGGGAGTATGCAACTAGTTTAAAAAAAAAAAGAGTTCAGAAT